GGATCGATTACCATCTTATATGAGACACTGTTACCGTGCCTTGCTGGATGCTTACAAAGAATTCGAGGAAACTTGGCCAAGGAAGGCAAATCAGATAGAGTCAATTATTCAAAATTAGTGGTAATATGCTTGGATTAACGCTTTTCTGGGCTAACTTGCAAACTCTGATGGATCGGGATCCCAAGTTGGACCATTTCACAATCAATACATGTGAAGTTGTATTCCAATTTCCATATGTGGGATTCATTATGAGAGTCATATATTTGTTAGGTGGTCTATTCGCAGAGTATATTACAAATTTGTCGTTTGATTATTGGAGTATCGCATGGCATACGATAGATTAACTCAAAAATTAATGTGATTATTGTTCCATCTTCCAGATGAAAAAGTTAGTGAAGGGATAATCTTCAAGAGGCCATATGGCTTCACAATGGCTACGTCCCAAAAGTTGAGGAGCACATGAAGGTTGCACTTGTCACAGGAGCATACATGATGCTAGCAACAACTTCCATGGTTGGAATGGGAGATTCTTTGACTACACAAACTTTTGATTGGGTAACAAACGAACCATTAATCGTTAGAGCTACATCAGTCATTTGTAGATTAATGGACGACATGGCTGGACACGAGGTTTATATCAAATAATTTACGATTGTAAATTAATTTTCTGTTATACACAGGTCTCATGAATATTGCTACCAATATCTTATGTGGTGCAGTTTGAGCAGGAAAGAGGACATTTGGCCACAGCTGTTGAGTGTTACGTGAATGAATATGGGGTTACAAAGCAAGAGGCATTTGATGAGTTTAACAAACAGGTAGCCAATGCTTGGAAAGATATAAATGGGGAATGCCTCAATTCAAATGCAGTGCCTATGGCCGTTCTTGAGCGAGTTGTGGACCTTGCAAAGGTCGTAAATCTGTTATACAAAGACAAAGATTGGTATACACATTCTGCGACCAAGCTCAAGGACTTCATTGCCACTGTGCCTATAGATCCAATCCCAATATGAAAATTTTTTTTATTTATTTTATAATTCTGGCTATTGATTGAAAAAAGCATTATTATTTTTCTGTTAATAAGATGCTTGTAAGTGAAGATCAGACGGTGAAACTTCGACGGTTAGTTTTACTTCATAATTTTGTTATCCGAGATTATTAAGGAATGCTGGGAATAGTAGTATTAGTTAGTAATGGTTGATATGCATTAGCAAGCATCTATCTCTTACCATTTTCTTTTGTCTGTATAATTTAATAATTAATAGTGGGTGAAGTAAATGCCTTTCATGTGGAGCACCATTTCCTTCCTTCATTGTTCACACAATTATTGGCCATATCTCGATTTGTCTGTAATGTTCATTGCGTGCTTGCTACTGCCACATCACGCCATGTTGCTTGCTTCATATAGCACTCCACTGTTGAAGCATTGCGAACAATTACATTTGATACTAGAGGTGCAAACGGGTCGAGTTTAATTGAGTAACTCGCGAACAATACGAGTTCTGTCAAAATAATACGAGTTCGAGCTCTAGTTTAAACAAGTTCACCTACTTGATGAGTCGAGCTCGAGTCTAATATGTAAAACTCGAAAGCTTGTCGAGTTTAATCGAGTTCAATTGAGTTTTACACATACACACACTTCTATATCACATCAGGTAGTATTGGGGCAAGTCATTTGTGAGCCCCCATCTATTTTATCGCACTTCTATATCATATCAATTAGTATCGGAGCAAGTCATTTGTGAGCCTAAGATCAAGGAGGAGGAATTTATCTATGATCCCAATCTTGAAGATGAAGAAGTTGAATTTCCTCCATGCTTGTCTGCGATGGATCCTGAAGTGGATCTAAATTCTCCAACCGTCAAATTTGAAGGGTTGGATGAATTTCAAGATTTGATGGTTGATGAAATTTCTGAGGATTTCTCGCCAATAAATCGACCACCACCATATGAGTTGCTGGTTAAATCTATAGAGCCAGTTGATACTTTGGCTCACGAGAATTTTGGTCTGGTAATGAATTTATTTTCGGCCACGCTGCATGGGCCATGCGAGACAGAAGTACAGGTGACTTTTTACTGGATTATTCTGCTGCGCTCAAATTATCATTGTGTAAAATTAGACAAAAGCCTTGGCCAGATGTTAATCTACCAGTTTCATCCGCTCAGTTGTTACGAATGCTGCGAACTCACAACACACAAGACATCAGACTTTTTGCTCAATTAGAAGACATTCACATGCTCAAAGCTTTGTTTATGAACTGCTCATTCAGCTTGGCTGAAAACCAGTGTAATAGATTAGGGAAAAGAATTAGCAAGTATGCTACTACTTTAGTGCAAGATGAGGAATATCTAAGTCCTCTGTGTCAAGCAACACAATTGTAAAGCTCGTGATGGGCCTTTGCTCAAGTTTGTATAGCTTGTTTTTGAAATCAATATATTTCCTATCGTTTCCGTAAAAAAAAAATGAATTTATTTTCGGCAAATCTTCTCTTATTGAGATTTTTCCTGCAAAGGCCAAGCATATTGAGTTCCTTATCAACCGGGGAAGGACAATAAAATATGTTTTGACAATGGAAGGCAATGAAGTTGTTAGTTTCGAAATTGCCCCAAGATGGTATACAACCTCTTATGTGTATAGTTGGGTGCAGCAGTTCCACTACAAATATTGATCCTACAAAATCCGTGGATGAATTGTAGCTGTGTCTTCTTGTGGTTTGTGTGTCAAGTTCCTTCGTGGAATTCGAGAGAGTCCTAATGAGAGTGTTTAATATAGAACGATAACTCTTGGGTTCAGGAATTTCTTATTTGTATCGATATTACTTAATTTAGGTTCTTAATTAAGGTATTTTCTATAATTTTAGTGTTGTATTTATTTATTTTTTAATATGATTATTATCGTTAATGTTTGCATGTTTAACTTGTTGTTCAAGTGGAAGCTAGTGGTTTTAGATTATGGTGGGGACTTTCCTCAGAAGGCCCTTTTAGAAGCTATATACTCCCTTTATCGTGCATCTTTCCAATTAACTTAGCACTAGACACACACTCATGTTATATAACTATGCTGAAGATGGGCAGGTAATCGGTCTGGATCAGTTCATCAATTTAGAAAATTTCTGAGTTTTGTTTTCCCCTTAACCTGGTGATAGCATCTTTCCAATTAACTTAGCACCAGACACACACTCAAAAACAGGAGTTGGATAATGAAGCACACCTTCATATAATTTAAGTTCTTTCAGTTGTGTTTGGATCAAGATTACATGAATTGACACGCTGAAATTATTCAAACTTCTTATTTCATGGTAAATGTGTACTCCCTTTCCAATTACAGTTTTTCTTTTTCTTTTTCTTCTTGTATTTTTTAAAAACTTTCATACTCGGTTAATTTTGTGGTTTATGGGGGTCTTCTACCACTCCTGTGTGACAAACTTATGTTGTCAAAATGTCGAAGTTGTTAAATCGTTGGAAAAAATAAAAGGAATTTTTTTTTAAAAAAAATTTCTCTAACAACAGAGGAGTGAAATTTAAGAAGTGAAGAGGGGAAAGGGGAAGTGAGAAATGCAATTTACAATTAAAATGTGCAGAAGAGAATTAATGAGTAAAAAGGAGAAGGCATAAAGCCATAAACAGTGGATGCAGACCCCCACCCCAAGTACCGAGACATGTTTTGCATTTATCTTGCATGGCCGGTGGCTGCATGCCTCCCAATTACTCCCTCCTTTTTTTATAATTGAAGTTTAAGAAATTTGCTCTAATGTATTTTTATCTGTCGTTTTATTATCCTTATATAATATTAATTATTTTTTCACAATTTTACCCTTTTATTTGCATAATTGCTTCTGATTGTATGTTATTTTGCTGAAACAAATTGTTTGTTAAACTGTACTCAAATCTTAAATGAGTGTTACTGTGTAAGATGATACAAATTTTCAACTGGTGTTGTTACACCCTACCTGGTGCGTTCTCATCCCGCACAAGCATCAAACATAGTAGATAAATTTTTCTTTGACATTTCACCAAACATCCTATTAGTATTCCCAAATTAACCACATTTAACATAGATGCCTACATACTACTAAGTTTCACATAAAGGGTCTAAGTCATTTCCCATGTATTTTGCAAGAAAATCTTGACAATCAAATCAAATGAAAGATAAATAAATTAAAGCAATATAATCAAATGATTTTTAAGAATGGTCTAATCTCTTGGCTACTATTTTTTATCTGCTCTCTCATCAACTGCCACTGCCACTAATCCCTAATAAAAATCTCAACTCTTTTGTTGGGTCTGCATATGTTAGCATCTAAAACCGATCAATTACGAAGGAGAGAGGGAAAGTGTGGACTAAAGAGGAAAATTTTGCTAGAGAAAATATTTTGTTCAATTGCGACAAGACAAAATGCGGGGCAAAGAGGAAAATTTTGCCAAGATCATATCGTGAGAAGAGAATAAGAAGAAGGCATGTGATTTTAGAGAGACGTGATAACCCGCAAGCATTTTAGGAACAGGTGATTTTTTTACTTAAAGATGCAATTTTTTACTTTTAGTATTAGTAAGCTTAATTTAAACAAAAATAACTTTTGTCAAATTATAAGTAAATTATATTACTCAAAGTGTAAATTTCTATTTTGACTAAAACTTACCATTTCAGACATATACTTACTAATTTTATTAAAAACTTACTAATGTTAATATTAATTATTCTAATATAATATTTAAAAAGATGCTAAAAAACTTGATCTATTACTAAAGTTAATATAGACGTACAATAGTAGATGTCCCTAATATCGTTCTGATAACTATAGGCACCCTAGCACTGTCCTAGATTGTTAAACTATAAAATTCATCTGGCTTTATTCTAATTTTTTATGGAATGCACAAAAACTAACGAAATAGTTGCCAATTCCTTTACGTCTTGCTATAGTCAAAGTTAGCCACATCTAACAGGGACATAAATAGCGGAGTAGAGAGAGCGGCGGGTGCATAAAAGCTGCATTGCGGGAACTTTGCAGTCTGCCAGGAAGTTTACTTAAATAAACTCCAAGCATTTCTTAAAATCGATTATGGAGGATGTTGTTGAAAAAGTACCAGTTCCCCGTCGCTTTGCCAATTATCATCCAAGCGTTTGGGGAGATCATTTTCTTGCGTATGCTTCTCAGCATAAGGTGATAGCATTAGCATACGATTTCCAGCTTTTCTTGTGGCAGTTACTTTCTTGATCTTGCGAATCACAAAACTTAATTAATTTTGGAACTGGTTTTTTTTTTTTTTTTCCTTTTTTGAAGGAAAAATTCTTCGAAGGAGGGGGAGAGCTTCAACGGCTAAGAGAAGAGGTTAGAGAGATGTTAACTGAAACTCCTGACGAGTTTCCTGGAAAGCTAGACATGATAGACACCATTCAGCGTCTTGGGGTGTCGTACCATTTTGAGAGTGAAATCGAGGCATCATTGCAAAAGATTTTCGATGCCTACCATGAGTTGAATCACAAAGATGGCAATGACCTCTACACTATTGCTCTTCGTTTCCGATTACTCAGACAAAAAGGTTTTCATGCCTCTTGTGGTAAGTAAATCGACCTTTAAAACACACATAGATGTAAATCAGGTTCACAAATTGCCATGCACTTAAGCATTCATGGACCAGGACGTGCTACACCAGAGACTATTATTTCTTTCTCCATTCTCTAATATTTCTTGATAACATAAAAGACATGCACCGTTTATTATACTTTTAGTGGAAGGCATTACTAATTTATTTTTGTTTATTTATTACGTTTTTCAACAGACGTGTTCAACAAATTCAAGAACCCGAAAGGAGATTTTAAGGAATCTCTGGCGAACGATATGCGAGGAATGTTGAGCTTGTACGAAGCAGCAAACTTTGGAGTGCACGGGGAGAAGGTTTTGGACGAAGCGCTGAAATTTACTTCTGATAACCTTGAATCCTTGGTTCCAAACTTGAGCAATTTTCTTGCTGCACAAGTTGTTCAAGCTCTTAAGCTGCCGATCCAGAAAACTTTGACAAGGCTGGGAGCAAGGCAGTACATATCTCTCTACCAACAACATGAATCACATGATAAATTGTTGCTAAAATTTGCAAAATTGGATTTTAACAAATTGCAGAAGTTGCATCAGAAGGAACTAAGCGGACTAACAAAGTAAGTAAATGACTGCATATATCCTAATACTTAGCTTAAAAAGAAAAAAAAAAAAGGACCAGGGCAAGGCTGACGATCCCACAAAATACTGATGGGTGCTACAATAATTATTAAAAAAAAAATTTCTAAATGATTATTCTGAAAATTTTTCCAAGTAATCACATGTCCAATTGCTAGTGAGTAAAAAGAAACTTCTACCCTGATTCTTTACATTTCAGATGGTGGAAAGGCATAGATGTTGCAACGAACTTACCATTTGCAAGGGACCGATTGGTGGAGTGCTACTTTTGGATATGGGGAGTGTATTTTGAGCCCAAATATTGCTTCGCTAGAGAAGTGCTAACAAAAGTAATCTCCATCACTTCCATCATTGACGACATTTATGATGTCTATGCCACTCTGGATGAATTAATCATTTTCACAGATGCGATAGAACGGTAAATTTACTTTTTTGTTTGTTTTTTCCCCTTTCACAGTCCTAAGTCCCTTGCTATTTTTGTAACAATAATTTGGTCTGGTGGTCTGCATGAATGATACCCAGGTGGCACAGCAATGAATTGGATCGATTACCATCTTATATGAGACACTGTTACCGTGCCTTGCTGGATGTTTACAAAGAATTCGAGGAAAAATTGGCCAAGGAAGGCAAACCAGATAGAGTCAATTATTCAAAATTAGAGGTAATATGCTTGGATTAACGCTTTTCTGGGCTAACTTGCAAATTCTGATGGATCGAGATCCCAATTAAGGTAGACCATTTCACAATCAATACATGTGAAGTTGTATTCCAATTTCCACATGTGGGATTCATTATGAGAGTTACATATTTGTTAGATGGTCTATTCACAGAGTATATTACAAATTTGTCGTTTGATTATTGGAGTATCGTATGGCATACGATAGATTATTGTTCCATCTTCCAGATGAAAAAGTTAGTGAAGGGATATCTTCAAGAGGCCATATGGCTTCACAATGGCTACGTCCCAAAAGTTGAGGAGCACATGAAGGTTGCACTTGTCACAGGAGCATACATGATGCTAGCAACAACTTCCATGGTTGGAATGGGAGATTCTTTGACTACACAAACTTTTGATTGGGTAACAAACGAACCATTAATCGTTAGAGCTGCATCAATCATTTGTAGATTAATGGACGACATGGCGGGACACGAGGTTGGTATAAATCTGTTATACAATGACGAAGATTGGTATACACATTCTGCCACCAAGCTCAAGGACTTGATTACCACTGTGCTTATAGATCCAATCCCAATATGAAAGGTTTTTTTTTTTTTAATAATTCTGGCTTTTGATTGAAAAAGCAATATTACTTTTCTATTAATAAGATGCTTGTAAGTGAAAATCAGAAGGTGAAACTTCAACGGTTAGTTTTACTTCATAATGTTGTTATCCAAGATTATTAAGGAATGCTGGGAATAGTAGTATTAGCTAGTAATGGTTGTTATGCACTAGCAAGCATCTATCTCTTACCATTTTCTTTTGTCTGTATGGTTTAATAATTAATAGCGGATGAAGTAAATGCCTTTCCATGTGGAGCACCATTTCCTTCCTTCCTTCCTTCATTGTCTCTCACAATTGTTGTAATGTTCATTGCAAGCTTGCTACTGCTACATCACGCCATGTTGCTTGCTTCATATAGCACTCTACTGTTGAAGCAACTTGTCCAACTGCGAACTATTACATTTGACACTAGGGGTACAAACAAGTCAAACTTAATTGAGTAACTCGCGAGATTGTTCGGTCAAAACAATGTGAGTTCGAGCTCGAGTTTAAGCAGGTCCACCTACTTGACAAGTCGAACTCGAATTTAATATGTAAAGTTCGAAAACTTGTCGAGTTTAATCGAATTCAATCGAGTTTCACATGCGCACACACACTTCTATATCACATCAGGTAGTATTAGAGCAAGTCATTTGTGAGCCTCCATCTATTTTATCACGCTTCTATATCATATCAATTAGTATCAAGGCAAGTCATTTGTGAGCCTCCATGAAACTTCCCAACACATGAAATCTTGACATAAGACAATGGTATCATCAATCAATAAGCCACATGATGAATCGTCAGATTCCAAACACTCTAGCATTTTGATGACTTTTTGTGAATCTCCTTCCAAAACAATCTTATTGAAACTCAAAGATTGTAGTAATTGGGTAGCATGTTTGGCCGCATATGATTCAACCACATTTGGTTCCAATATCCCAAGAATTTTCTTGGAGAGGCCAGCAATGAAACTTCCTTTATCATCCTGGATAATAACACCAACCCTGATGATTTATCATCCATAAACACAGCTCCATCAAAGTTTGCCTTAACAAAACCTGCTTTGGGTCATATCCAATGACCTATTGATAACCTTGACTGAAGAGAGGTAGGCGTATTGCACTTATCTTTGGAATTTGCTTCATGGAATTGATTTAGGAATGTTATGGACAGGGAGACCAAGCTAAGAGGATCTTGGTAGGGCCCATCAAAGATTGCTCCATTTCAATTATTCCATAAATTCCAAAGAATAACACCCACCAATTCCATCTCTTTGCTTGATAGTCGCAAAAGCTGGTTGGGAAGCCAAGATGTAATCTGATCAGTCGATTGTAGTTGAATTTTCTAGTTTAAGAAACTAAACGCCCACGATTGCACAGCTACAGGATAAGTTAAGAAGGTATAATCAATATTATGTGTATAGTTGGGTGCAGCAATTCCATTACAAATATTGATCCTACAAAATCCGTGGATGAATTGTAGCTGTGTCTTGTGGTTTGTGTGTCAAGCTCCTTCGTGCGACTCGAGAGCGAGTCCTAATGGCAGTGTTTGATATAGAACGATAACTCTCGGATTCAGGAATTCCTTCTTTGTATCGATACTACTTAATTCAGTTTTTTCATTAAGATATTTTCTTTAATTTTACTGTTGCATTTATTTATTTTTAATAGGATTATTATTGGTAATGTTTGCATGTCTAACTTGTTGCTCGAGTGGAAGCTAGTGGTTTTAACACTGATGATAGTGCAATCTTATCAGAATGATCAATGATGATGAGGAATAAGTAATTAGAACTTTTTAGTGGCTGACACTATGACAATTTCCTTTTTCTTTTCTGTCAAGGTTAGTGCTGAAACTTGGACTCATATAATTTAGTGTATAGGATGAATTTAGGTAATGAAAAATCAATAAATCAATGCGAATCTTCATTTTATTTAATGAATTAAGTTCAACTTGGATCATCTTCCTATACATAACTTGCTTTCAATCCGGTTGAGAAAAAGTTATGGGGAATATGCTTTGCTATGCTTTGCAGCTCATATATGTTTCTCTCCCTATATATTTATATGGATTGTCCTCATAAAGGATTTCTATCAAGGAGCAAGGACAAAATATGCAATTTTGCTAAAGATATACTTGTGCTTCCTATGTGTATACATATATATATTTTCTCGGTAATCCTTATGCTTTGATGATTCTGAAGCTATCTTCAACCTTTTTCGTACTTGAATTTACAAACTGTAAAATTGAATGGAAAAAAAAGTGAGACAACTTCATCTAACAGTCTCCTGCACCAACTTAACTGTGAGAATTATGGAGTGAAAATGTATAATTAAGCAATGAAAATTAGATGAATACAAATAGTCAAATATTTGAATGTGCACGATTACCATAGAGCCCTATTTTTCAGGATTATGGGGGCATTAATCAACGAGTTTAATTTTTCTAGTACAGCAGTACTCAATGCTCAAGGAAAATGCAACATAACAGGTGTGAACTTAAATAATTATTAGTCTTTCAAATAACACTACTTATCAGGGACAAGGGCAAATACAGTTGGAAATTTTGTACAATTATCTGGTTGTTTATACTTTTTACATAACATGATTTTCGGTTATACAGCCTTATTTTCATAAATTTTATTCATCCACGCCAATTCAATGCATAAATACAATCACATTTTTAAATGTATACTCAATTAATTATAGACGAAGTACAACAATCATACACAGCTGTTCCTGCCCTGGTATCCTACTTATCGTTGCTTTTTATCAAACTTCTCAAACACGTTTTTCGTAAAGGGTGTTTCATATATTGGAGATGTTTGGACAAGCGATTATTTGAAACAATCGTTCAAAATAATACTGTAGTACTTTTTATGATGTAATATATATGAAGTAAAAATGTGATTAAGAATATAAAAAAATAGTTGATAAATTTGTTTATGATACAAATAAAAATATTTTTGCAAATAAGATTAATATCCAAACAAATCCAATTGGGTTATGGGTTTTGACCTTTTGGGTTATGGAGAAAATTATTTATCCTAACACTATAGCCAATATGGATCTCATCCATGTTTGGATAAGGGGTTTTCTGAAAAAATTATTCGAAATAACACTATAGTACTTTTATGTTATAATATATATATAAAATAGAAGTGTGATTTAAAACATAAAAAAATAGTTAAAAAACGTGTTTATGATACACGTAAACAAATTTTTGCAAATAAGATCAATATCCAAACAAATCTGCAACCTTACCTCAAAATTCAGTTCTTTCTTTGTTGCATGGACCCTCACGTACCCAAACTCCGAGACCCGAACTAAACTCCAGCTATCGGCCTGTTGATCACGAGACAAGTGTATTAAAATTGCTTCATCTTAATTCCATTGAACGTAAAGGGACACTCAAAACTATAATTCCATGGTAATAATCGAATGAGATTCTTCAACATCAGTGCTTAGATAATCACGTTTGACAAGAATTGTTTGGAAAAACCTCGAGTACATTTAAAATCCCAAAAAATTTCTGACTATCATAGCCACGTATAAATTGAAAACAGCTTGTCTTTGGCTTCCATACAGTCTACAGATTGGAACTGTGATTCAAAATGGTTGGACTGGTTTTTAATACAATTGGAATAGGGATTTGTACAAATCATAATTGTATTAAAAAAAGTTTGTGAGGTTCATATAGATTAATTGTTGAAAAAGTAACTTCATACGCTGCTGATTTTTGACAACAGATGTTCTAAAATCTAATTATCCTAACACTGAATTGATACGAGTAACTGTTCCTGTCCCAAATCCATTTAAAATAGGCGTTTCTTACGAGTCAAGCACGGGGATGGGGGAGGAATTTAAAATTGAGAAAGGTTCAATATGCTTACATTACTTGGAGATTTGTCGAGGGTAAATCCAGCCATTCCAATAACAGCATGAACTGGTGCACTGTAATTGGAATTGTCATAAATATCAATCCCATTTTTATCTTTCTTAGGCATTGCTTTGCAATCTCTCCGGTATACTGCACATGTTCTCTCGTAATTATGAACATGACCAAAGAGAGCTAGGTCGACCTAGAAAAAGAGCATTCCAGGTTGATTGATCGGTATTAGTACAAAGTCTGAAGTAAATAACTATCAAGTAGTAAATGGTTGTTTAACTTTCGTCAGTTACTTACCTTGTTTGCTAATAGCAAGGGCTCCACAGCTTGCACAAATTTTTTATCCACACTTGGAATAATGACTGAGCCACCATTGGAGGAGTACATAGGCCTGTGTCTGCAATTTGCAATTTTAATTTCATTACTAATTTGGAATACACGGAAAAACAAATGCGCTAAATAAACATAATCTAGGTGGCCTTGGTAAGATAAAGTACACGTACACGGTATTGGTCTTTCCACAAACACTTTTTGCTAATTGACATATTTATAATGTTGTGTCAAGGAAGCCTTGATTTAGAAGGTAAGATTGAGATACCAGATATTAGAGGTCTTTGATTCAAATTTCCATGGTTTTTCTGCCCGTATCTTAAATCTAGAAGCGGCAATTTGGATTGAAATCCATTTATCCATCCATATAATCCATAATTAAATGGATAATGGATTATCCATTTATAGTATTGGTTTTAAATGGTTGATCAAAGTAAAACCATTAAATTAAATGGATTTATATGGATTATCCACTAAAACCATATATATCTATTTACTTAAAAACCAAATAAAAGAGAGGGAAAGGAAATGACTAAAAAAGGAGCCATCCTAAAATTGCAATTGGGGTGTGAAAATTTTGCTTACATGAACTAGTAACTAGAACAAGAAAAATATAGTTATTCATTTAAATGCATTTTTGAATAAGGTGAGTTACTAGTTTATTTTAATTCTTCACTTAGTGAAATCTAATTCATTTGCTAAGAAAGTGGGTCAACATCAGACCATGAGAGGATTTTGAATTAGGAGGGGTAAATTTGATCATTTTCTTTTTGGTAACAAACACATTAATAAGTTTACAAATCGGTTAATTAATCCACTTGAATCATATATCTATGAACTTTTACTTGTTCTAAGATCTCTCTTATTTTTTAAAGTACAACAGAAAACTGGTATCTGTTCTTGGACTTAATTAATTGAGAGGGAAATGCCGAATTTGAGATAAATTTAAATGCAGTCAAGGCTAAAAGTAGAAGATAATATGGGCCATAATTAAAATCCATGGATGCCGAATTTGTAGATATCCTACGTACGATCTATGCAGGACTTCTATTGTTTGGGCTAGT